TTAAAAAAACAATCTTTCCGGTCGTGACAGGGGCTAAAAAGTCAATGTTAACTTTCATCGGTCAAATAAACTAAATTAAACATTCTATAATCAAATTTGGCAACTAGTTTAAACATTGTCCTCCAATCATTCAAAGTAATTTAAATTTTATAATAGATAATATTATGATTATTACAAAAAATAAAAATAAAAAATTATACTTTTAGTTATTAAAAAAATATATAATTAATTAGATTTTTAGTTATTAAAATAATACCAATCTAAATTCGAGTTAATTGTTCCAATGATTATTGAACTTAAATCCATGTCTTCGATTGTCACTGAATTTTAAAATATTGAGTTTTGACTATTGAATTTTGAAAAATGTCGAGTTTTGGTCATTGAACTTAGGTCCATATCTTCGATTGCTCACTGAAACTTAAAATGTCTAATTTTAGTTACTGAACTTTGAAAAATGTTTTACATTACTCATTGAACTTTGAAAAATGTTGTATATTATTAATTGTAAACTCGATATTTTTTAAAGTTTAACAGTTATGTTAGTGAGTAACGTACAACAGATTTCAAAGTTCGGTGGCCAAAACTCGACATTTTAAATTTTAGTAAGCAATATAAGACATAAACTTAAGTTCAGTTAGCAATCGATGAGATTGACTTAAATTCAGTGACCAAAACTTGACATTTTAAGTTTTAGTGACCAATCAAAAACATGAACTTAATTTCAATGAACAAAACTCGATATTTTTTAAAGTTAAGTGATCAATTAAAGATATTTGTGACTATTGAACAATTAACTCTCTAAATTCCCATTTCCCAACCAGAAAGAGATACGAATATTCATACTCTTGACGTTTCACAGTGAATGCACCTTAAGAGCAGCCTCACAGCAAGAACATTTTCTCATCCCCTCCTTCCAAATTGATAATCATAAAATTCATCATTTGAAATAAGCAATTAAATTACATGATTAGGCTGTGGAAATGGTATCAGAGTTGCTTGGCAGTTCACCCTGTTAAAACTCAGGTAATTAGCTCAGCCTTAATATGGGGATTTGGCGATATTGCTGCCCAGGCGGTCACTCACACCACCGCCAAAAAGCGTCATCTTCAATCTCGTGTACGTAGTCTATTCTTCTTCTTCTTCTTCATTATTATTATTATTATTTTAACGTGATTTAAATATACTTAGTGGGTATTTTTTTTTGCTAATTTTTTGGTTTATTAGTTGTTTGACGAAATGGGCAGCCCTAAGTTTTTGGATTCTAACGGTCTGTAAGTGTATGAGTATGTATGTTAACAGTTTTAGCTATGGGTCGTGAATAATTTTGTTTGATTTTCTGCTTACGATGAAATGAAAATGAGTAGCTTAATCCATTAAGCAAGATACAACTATATTGTTTTTGAGTAATATGTTCAGAAGAAGTGCATAACCTCTCTAATCTAGCCCCTTCCCCCCACCACCCGGGGCCAACACGAAAAATGTACTGGTTTCATTAGTGAATTGGCTTTGCATCTCAGTACGTTCAGCTGTTCGAATATAATTGTTCTGAAATATGAACAGTGAAGTATTATGAACTCAATAAATTACTTTTGGATATTTTAACCAAACATTACAAACGAATCTGTGAATTCATTGCTCTCTGGGGCAGTGAACTTGTGAGCTAGCTCTGGGAATTAGGGATTTTAAACTAATTGTAAAGGCTTAATGTAATAGGAGATAAGGGGGGTTCAGATGAAAGTCACGATATGACAAAGAACATGTTATTTGATCGAATGAGCTTTTGTGATAAATGGTGTTGGCAGTAATTATTAGTTGGCTTGCAGATATTGCTTCTTGTTAATCGTGGTCAATTCTACGACTGGGGAAATCTCTCTAACAGTTGTTGGTTGCTTTCCACTCTTGTTATCGTTGCACATGAAGACTTCCTGATGATGGATTTGCAATGTTAACTCATTGGAAATTTCTATCTCTATCCTCTTTCATTCATCTGTTTGAGGGAATGGTTGATTAGTTATTTTAATATTCTGTGAATTATCTTGGATATGTTTCGTTGAGCCAATACAAGTTCAGAATGGAATGCCTAAGATAGGATATAGGCTGATCTAAGGGCTAGGTTTCCAAAATTAGTAGGTAGTGAATCACGACACTTTCTTTGACATTTAGTGATGAAGTGACTCATCCAAGTCATTGTTCTCAAGAAAGAATTGCGGACTGTTTTGGTAACTTTTGAGTAGTGTTATTGCAACTGATAACATAATTAACTAATACATGTCCAATAACTATACAATATATGCAGTGTGGTAGCATTATTATATTTTCTTACATGGGGGCAATACCAAATTGTTGAGACATGGGTTGCAAGATCTGTTCCTGTTCCATATGTGTTTGCCTTGATTAAGAACAAAGAGATGAAAGGTTATCATGACACGTATAACTGAATTTTATTTATTTTTATTTTTATTATTATTATTATTATTTTTTGTTGTTGTTCACCTGTTCTTTCTGATGAACACATTAAGAAAAGTTTTACACCTTCAATCCTATTTGACTTAACAACGATATTCTTGATTTTCTCTATAGAATGAAGATAAAGATTTTAAGATCAATTGGAGACGAGTTGCTACCACAAGTTTGTTTGGTCTTGGATTTGTCGGACCAGTTGGCCACTTCTGGTTAGTATTTCTTTGTCAATTGACTGTTGGCTTACTCTTTTTGGAATTTTCTATTCACCTTCCAATCGAGTATGGACTATAAGTTGCAGGTGCTGTAGATCCAAGAGTTTTTAGATCATAAAATCCCACTTACAGACATAACATTTTTGAGATGCCTTATACCTGAATGCACGTAATCACTAAAATATATTTGATTTCTTTATAATGATGTTCAATATAATGTTTTTATAACTATCCTATTGATCATTGTCATTCAATCTATCAATATAAACAATTTGTGATGTTTACTCTATAAACTAACATGTAATGTTGTGATGATAAACCTGAAGGAATTTATTCTATAGAAATATGCACGGACAAAATTTAACAAGGAATGCGATGGGAAATGCTGAAAGGGTATTGATGCCGGTTTTGATGACAAAAAAAAAAAAAAATAAAAAAAAAAAAAATTATGGGAGAGAAAGTAGGAAGAAGGAATGAAGTAGATTTTATTCAATAATCAAGTGTCTTTATTGCAATCCAAGAACCTCAATTTATAGTATCCAACTAACAATACAAAGGAAAATTGCAATAAAAAGGAAAACTAGAATTTCCTTTTGTTTAAAGGAAACAAATTTATTATTCTACCAAAACAAGAAAATTCAATCTTTAATTGATTTGATTCCAATTACATCTAGAATACACTTTCCAATCTGCATCAGGTATCCTTGCACTATAATCATTGTATATTATTTATTGACAGCATCTACTATTGTCATGCTAAAGCTTGCAACTATACTTCTATAATTAGGATTATTCTTTAAATTCACAGATTGTAAGTTTTTGAGTTCCCTTCTATATGGTCAAATGGTTATGTGATACAACATTTGATCTAACTTGATGTTTACACTTGGTGTTGTTGCCATTTACTTGTCTATGTTTAATTTTCAGTGATTTAGTCGCATCCAAGTGTAGTCAGTCAAGTAATTTTTGGTCCAAATCTGTACTCAATTTGCCACTCCCACAATGCCTAACTTTGTCTCCATTTACATACTTTTTCGGTTTTTCCTTCTAAATGTTTGAGAAAAGCTGCAAATGGAACTTCCACTTGAATAACTGTTAGAGCGAACACAAATTGTCATGAGGGTATTACACGACAATATTGGAAAGAGTAAGGGAAATTCAGCAACTTGATCTTGGTCGAATCTCATTTAAAAGAAGAAAAAAAATTATAGCATGGTGACATACTCGGGTGTATTTTTCACTACTGAGCTTTGTGCGCATTACTGTGGAAAGTGATGAGGCTTGAGAAATGTGGTCGTGATGATTGGGTCAGGATGATAATTGCAATTGCTATTACTTGATACGTCTATCTAACATATGGATGGAGATGGTTTTCACTTCTCAACAATTAACATGCCAGTGCCGCTTTCGTTACCTCTAGAGAAATGCTACATTGACCGCACTGTAATCTATAGTACGCATGTTGTGAGAAAATGTAGGGGGGCAAATAGGAATCAAGTGAACAGTTTAATGGCCCCAAGGCACTTCACCAAATTTTCTGTGACGGCCAGTCACCAATTCTGTCCAGCGGACCTTCTCTTTATATTGCTTAATATTTTGTAATGAAGTTTGAAAGGAAAAAAAAAAAAAAAGTATGAATTTTCATTGTCATAGCTATGAAAAGACAAAATATCTTCTCTCTTGGATAGTTTCTGCGATCATGATTTCAGTATGAGAAATGAGGAAAGTCGAGCAATTAGTCTTCCATTGTTTTAATTATATACCATGGTTACTGCATTGTAATTGTAGTACCACTTCTTATAAATTTGTCCTCTGTTGAAAGAATCAACGAAATCCATCTTATTGTTACCTTTCAAAAAAGATGTTCATGCAAATATTCAGTGACTATCATATTGTTATTAACTGGCATCGAGAAATTTTTTTTAACTGCAATAACCACCAATTTGATTATTGAATTCTCATTTCTAGAATTATGAATTTATGAATTTTCCCATTAAGTTTGTGTCCTTCAAAGACTTTGCTTATTTTTTCTGCTGTGCAGGTATGAAGGACTGGACCGTTTTATTAAGTTGAGGCTACAGCTTCGGCCAAATTCCTTTTCTTTTGTTGCTACAAAAGTAGCAGCTGATGGTATAATCTTCGGGCCTTTAGATTTACTTGTGTTTTTCACTTACATGGGGTTTTCGACTGGGAAAAATGCTGCTCAGGTTAAGGAAGATGTGAAGAGAGATTTACTCCCAGCCTTAATTTTGGAGGGAGGCGTATGGCCAATCGTTCAGGTGGCGAATTTCCGATATGTCCCAGTCAGGTATCAGCTTCTTTATGTGAACCTTTTCTGTTTATTGGATAGCTGCTTTCTTTCGTGGGTCGACCAACAAGAAAACGCCCCCTGGAAACAATGGCTCAATTCTTTTTTGAGTTTAAAAGAACAAGAAGGAAAAGGTGGATAATTTCTTCTGCAATACTTTGTTGATTTCTTGTTTGGATTCAATGGTCATCATTGGTAAATACATTTCGTAAAAAGATGAATCATTTACAGTTTGAATTGAATTTCCCATCTGTTTATGGCTTCAAATTTAAAGAAAGATGACACTGAATGTTCTTTAATCTGTACTAAACTTCCAAACAAGAGCCCAGCCATGAAATGGCCTTCATGACTCATGAGTATCAGAAAATGTAATAGAATTGATTTCAGTTGCCTTTTTATTCATTTACAGATTCTTTTCCATTATTATTTTTTTGATAATTTAGCCTAATCTGAGCATGTCATTTTGCTATGAATTGTTATAGCATGCTTGAAATTTCTTTTTTTTTTTTTTTTTTTTTAACTGAAAAAGCACATGACAAGCAGTTACTTCATTTTGGCCGGGGAGGGGCGAAATGCTTGATCTCTCTAAGAGCCTGAGCATTCTTTTGGATTCCAAACAAGTGTCTAATGACTGGCAAAATAGCCTTGTAACTTTGGATGGGGTTTCCTTCTTAGGTCACAGTGACAAGGCCGAGGTGATCTATTTATACCATGGTTCTAGAAACTATGCAAAACCATCTTACTTCATCTCGTCCACTACCGAATTCAATTTCTCCGATAAACCTGCCCTTCGATAGCCAGCAAATCATAACTCCATCTTGTGAACTTGTAAGAACCTTACATACATTCTATAAACACTTCTACATTGAAGTATATGTATTCGTATTTTTCAAAATCCATAGTTTCTCCTTTATGAATAATTTTGACAAAATTATCGCCAACAGACCCTTTGTAAAAGCCTAAATCTTTATCCTCAAGTCTCAAAAACCAGCCTGCCTCCCTCCTTTTCTCAACTTCGTGTCTGCTGCCCATGGCTTTCTTAATAAAATTAAAAAATATTACCACTACTCGGCTGATACAAAACGGCAGTTTTTGGCCCTTGATTTGAATGAAAGGGCCAACTCATTTCTTTCAGCAAGTACAAAATTTCTGTAACCGTTCTCTTCTATGGGTTATTTAGATCAATAATGGTGTGTGTAAATCCAAGTATTCTGTGTACGTAATTGCCCATTCTTCCGCATGAACCACGTTTCGAATAGTTCAGAATATTACAAAGATTTTCATCTTACACAATAGATTACACTCACATCATATGGAGGGGGTTCACAAATATTTTATTGTATGTGGGCCCCCTTTCATGTGAGTGGAGTGTAATGCTGTGTGTATATATAGCATTGTTCTATTTAAATTGATTAGATGATTACATCAAGAGATGCGAGGACAAGAGAAAGCAGTACCATAAATGTGGACAGAATTTACTTTTAGAAGCAACTATGGAGAGAAACAAAGGCGAACCTTTTGAGAAACCATCCACAAAAGATTCAGATGGCAGGATTATCCAATACTTCTATAAGATGATGCTGGCAAATACCACTAAGTTGCAGATAAAAATAGAAGCACTTCAAACTGCCGCCAACCACTCGTGAATGACATATAGCCATTCTTCTTAGAGTTAACTTCATCGGCATTTCACCATCTCTTGTCCTACTTAATCCAATTCCACAGCAGAACAAGTGGGAAAAGATCAGCTCACTCAAAGCTGATTGCAAAGGAAAGACAATTTTTTCCACTGAAAGAAGTCGTGCCTTAACTGAACCCATTCAAAAAAATTTCATTTCTGCATATTTACTTTTTGAGATTACATGTATCTGGTTGGAGCTGACAGAAAGTTTTGGACCCAAGAAACCCAAGAAACTGAACTGCAATGAAGGAAAGGATGCCTACCTTTGTTGTGAAAAGCAGAAGATGATACCGGATTAATCCATTATCACTTTGTTGGAGAAAATAAGATATTAATCCACAATATCAAGTAATTGATCACAATAACAAAATAATTTGCGAAGAATGGAGATTTTATTATAATATGGAAAAAGAATATAAAGATTATGTGTTTATAATTTTTCTAACTTGTAATGAGGTTAAACAACCCAACTAACTTATAGAGTACAGCCAAATATATAGAGGAAGCAATTCAAACCCTAGAAATTAAGTTGTAGATAAAATAGAATGCCCAAAAAAGTTTACTTATCTTAATCTCTCTAAATCCAACACAAATTTCATCTCCCAATGGGGCTTCCAAATAGAATTTCAATTAGAATTTATCAAATAAAAGCATTTCAAATATAATTCACTTTAATGTGCACTTTAATTAAAACTCTCAATTATCTTCAACAAAGAATTTAGGTCACATCCAAATTCTAACAATCTTTATCTTGATATGAATTCCACTACAATGAACAAAATTTAAAAAAAATTCTCCACCTGGAGACAAATACTACTACAAAGAATAAATTTGAATTTTTCAATGAAAAACACAAACGAATTTCTCCATAAATAATTCAAACTAAAAATATTCTCCATCTTTGTTACCCCAACTAGAGGCAAAAGTGATCAAATGATCACCTAACAAGGTTGAAACAAGCTATGTAACAAAATCACAACTGAGTGCATCAAAAGAAGTATCTTGGCTAGAATCAACACTTTTAGCCACATTCAAACCATAAAAAAAATTAGCAGAATTGTACCTATGTGGAATCTTATGACAAAAAATGGGTTTAACTCTAGCAATTGAATACGATGACACTGTCGAGAATGATGGCAATATGAATTTACCAATATCTTCAAAATTCATCTGAGATGTATTCTTCAAAGAAGACCCAAAATTAAACTCCAATGGTACATAAGCAAACTCTAAATCCACCTGAGTTCTTAAAATATGCTGATTACTCGTAGATTCCGTATCACCCTGCAAGATATATAAATGAGATTTTCTATATCCCATCTGCACAACATGGGCTCCTCTGATATATTTTAGGACTCTACCTTCAAT